ATGATGTGCTTCTCTCGTTGAATGACAACAAACACTTAATTGAAGAATTGCTCTGTTGACCAATAACCGACGCAGGGGCGTAGACTTCGGCTACCGACTTCGGCACGACCAGCCGAAAAACCCTTGCCGAAGAACAAAACCATCAAAAATGGCACAAAATGTTGTCAAAATATATGCACCAACTGTTCCAAACTTTTTTGGATGGGCAACATGTGGAACGGAATCAATGGAACCGAGTCAAACAAGTTGTTTCTATGTGTTTGATGTGTTTGGTACCATTAGATTGATTCCATTTCAGCCATTACAATTAGCCCGTCCCTATAGCTCCTCCCATCAACTTCCTCTGTTCCCCACCAAATGCTTTAAAATAATAATATGCCATTTAGCAGACGCTTTTATCCAAAGCGACTTACAGTCATGCGTGCATAAATCTTTTTGTGTATGGGTGGTCCCGGGGATCGAACCCACTACCTTGGCATTTCAAGCGCCGTGCTCTACCAGTTGAGCTACAGAGGACCACTTTGTCAAAAGCCCATTGAACCCCATTGACCTGACTAGAGTGTCAGTCAGACAACACCCTCCCCTAAATGTATGCTACGTTGTGTCTAAGGCTGATGAGTCCCTGTGTTCCTCTGTCCCCCCTCAGGCGCGGGAGCAGCCTGTTTCTCAAACTAGACACTGTAATGTATTTGTCCTCTTGCTCAGTTGTGCACCGGGGCCTCCCACTCCTCTTTCTATTCTGGTTAGAGCCAGTTTGCGCTGTTCTGTGAAGGGAGTAGTACACAACGTTGTACGAGATCTTCAGTTTCTTGGCAATTTCTCGCATGGAATAGCCTTCATGTCTCAGAACAAGAATAGACTCTTCTCTCTCCTCTCCTCTCCTCTCCTCCTCTCTCCTCTCCTCCTGTCTCTCTCTCTCTTTAGTTACAGAGTTACACCCAACCAATGGCATGTTTAGTTAGAGTTACAACGTTTTTCACATGTGAAACTGCAGTTCCCATGTGAGGTGAAAACATTTTATTCTCCTCACATGTGAAAGGGTGGTGTTAACATGTGATCTTACAATTTTATACATGTGAACATATGATTTCACATACATTTCAGCTCAACATGTGAAAACAGCTATTTCAAATGTGAAAATGCAAATTTCACTTATTTTTTTGTAAGGGCGATTCTTAGAAGGAGCTTCACAACAGGTCACTGATACTGATGATTCTGCAAGGTTACCATGAGTTGTGTTTGATCTCTAGGAAGCAGCTGCTTGAAATCAATCAGAACGTCGCCACTATGGAACCAGTTGTGGACTTTGGTCTCCATCCAAATAAATATTTGTGGTCGATAAACAGAACTAGGTTTAGCAAATTCAGACTTCTTCCCTTCATTGTTCATGAACACAATTACATGTATAATATGTTCCTAAAAAAAAAAATATATCAGACAAACTGGGGAAATATTATTTGGATTGACTGCCATTCAGCATGCCAACTGAAGGGTTTTTTTATATAGAAATATATTAATCTGTTCATCCAACATAGCTAAAACTAAATAACGCAAACGTTATCTCCATTTGACAATGTTGAATTTCATTGATACAAATGTAGGTTCTTAATTTGATCACTCTTTTGTTGCTGAGAATTTCCTGCACAACAGGAAATGCAAACTTGTAGTGTATTTAACATTTAAAAAGGCTTCTAAAGTTTGTAATTTCCACTTTAAAATGTCAGACTTGATTTTCCCTAAACGAAAAATGTATCAACCCCTACAAAAAATGTCTATTAAATCAAATCAAATCAAATCAAATTTTATTGGTCACATGCGCTGAATACAACAGGTGCAGACATTACAGTGAAATGCTTACTTACAGCCCTTAACCAACAGTGCATTTATTTTTAACAAAAAAAGTAAAAATAAAACAACAACAAAAAAAGTGTTGAGAAAAAAAGAGCAGAAGTAAAATAAAATAACAGTAGGGAGGCTATATATACAGGGGGGTACCGGTGCAGAGTCAATGTGCGGGGGCACCGGCTAGTTGAGATAGTTGAAGTAATATGTACATGTGGGTAGAGTTAAAGTGACTATGCATAAATAATTAACAGAGTAGCAGCAGCGTAAAAAGGATGGGGTGGGGGGGCAGTGCAAATAGTCCGGGTAGCCATGATTAGCTGTTCAGGAGTCTTATGGCTTGGGGGTAGAAGCTGTTGAGAAGTCTTTTGGACCTAGACTTGGCACTCCGGTACCGCTTGCCGTGCGGTAGCAGGGAGAACAGTCTATGACTAGGGTGGCTGGAGTCTTTGACAATTTTGATTATAATCCACATAATAATTCACATTTCCTGTTGCTGCATGATTATTTTCCTGCTGTAGCAAACTGGCTCAAAATAAGATCCTACATATGTACATTAGATCCCAACATTTATATTATTAACCACATAGGGTAACCATTCATCTTTAAATTGGCGCTTGTAACGCCAAGGTAGTGGGTTCGATCCCCAGGACCACCCATACACAAAACAAAAAAAATGTATGCACGCATGACTGTAAGTCGCTTTGGATAAAAGCGTCTGCTAAATGGCATATTATATTATTATTATAAATTCCTCCATTGCAACGTAAAACTAATGTTGCATTCATGACCAAGTGGGAAAGTGGTAATTACCAGTTGTGAAGTCATAAATACGAGTTGGATGCTTTCACATGCTTTCAACTCGTTGAGAATTGCCGATTGGCTAATGGCAAACAAGCTGCATCAACCATAAACTAAAAGTACAGCTATCATGCCTGTAAACAAACTATAGTGTTAAAAAAACATATTGATAGATTGCTTTTTATAAATAATGTTTTGTTGTTGCACTTAACTGCCGAAAATACTGTTATCGAGGTCATTTCCTCAGTAGGAAATGTCAGAGTTCAGCATGTGGGAGAAGTTGGAGCTCAGGGTTGATAGATGCGTTTCCCACTAGTAATTACCAGACAACTGGATTTTTCCCAGTCGTATGTGCTAAATACCATCTTCCCACTCTGTTATGAATGCACCAAATGCCCTTGCGGTCCTCTGAAGAGTAGGCTCTGTAGCAGGGGTCTCCAACCCTGTTCCTGGAGAGCTACCCTCCTGTAGGTTTTCGCTCCAACACCAGTTGTAACTAACCTGCTTCAGTTTATCAACCAGCTAATTATTAGAATCAGGTGTGCTAGATTAGGGTTGGAGTGAAAACCTACAGGACGGTAGCTCTCCAGGAACAGGATTGGAGAGCCCGGCTCTATAGCAAGTGGGGCTCCTATGCTCACAGCCAGAGGAATCGATCCTTTGTCTGGATAGGCCCAAAAATGTGACACATCACTCCCTATGCAAATGAGGTGTCAGATTTCAAACCCTACATCTCAGCTCCTTGCGGGCAGCGCCATCTGAATGGGGAGACTCAGCTGTTTTGCTGAGTTTAAAGCAATTGACATTGTACTGTTCACAGAACGTTCTGTACACAAACATTTCGGTCACTCAGAACCAGTCCACAATCACTACGAGTCCCCTAAATAAGGGACTTTACATCAGAGGTTAACAACGTACCCTACTAACAACCAACTTTCGCACCTCTGCAGTGTGGGAGTAGTGGGAGTGATAGAAATTCTATGTTTTGGATTATAGCCAATGACAGTTCAGGGAATTTTAATTGACGTTTTGCTGGGCGAACACTTTTTTTGGATTCTCATACACTTAAAATGTTGTTTTGATTATTGCTTAAACAGTCGCTAAGATTATATTTGTGTGTGATCTTTAAAAAATACCTATTTTGGATGTAGCAGTTGTTATCGAGAATGCGAAAATCCAATTATAATCCCTAAGTAATGTGAAATTGGGCGGCAGGTAATCTAGCGGTTAAGAGCGTTGGGCCAGTAACCGAAAGGCCGCTGGTTTCTAATCCCCGAGCCGTCTAAGTGACAAATCTGTCAATGTGCCCTTGAGCAAGGCACTTAATCCTAATTGCTCCAGGGTCGCCGTCAATAATTGCTGATCCCTGGCTGTGACCCCACTCTCCGAGGGTGTCTCAGGGGGAGTGGGATATGCAAAAAACAAATGTTCAATTCACACACGTGTATAATACACACTTGTACATGTATGAAATAGGACAAATGTAAGCACCCACCTAATTATTATTATTATTATTATTATTATTATAAATGCACTCATAAGCAACATGTAAATGGAGGCTTTTTTAGCTGGCAGTCTATGAGAACTCCCCTATGTTCTGCAACCAATATGGGGCGCATCACCCACCTGTGGAAATTTTTGCAAACACAGAAAGGGGTCTGTTGATATGAAAAATCTTCCTTGATAACGAAGACTGAAAAAACGTACTACCAATGCCACAACATAATTGACCTTATTGCACAAATGAAGCCTAATGTTGTATTAATAGATACAGTATGAACATACAGTATTTCTAACCACCCTAAATCTTTTTTTATTCCCCCTTTAGCAGTGTGCCTCAATACCCCCTCCCCCCTCCACTACCACCCATCCCCGTTCCCCTCCTCCCTCCTCTCCTCTCCCGCTGCCTTGCACCTCTCTCAGTATGTGCTGTCAATAATTGATGGATCTACAGACTCAAAGGGTAACAGGTCTAAAGAGGCAATCTCTCATGCGTTTATTTATTTATTTACCATTCCTATCTTTAAACACACCCAGTCAGTGAGACCACTACCTGTGTTTCTTAGAGCATGGCGATCGACACCCAGCGACCCCTCTGTCTCTGTGTCCATACATGTACTGTATGTCAGGGCAGGGTCATGGGGTTTGTTATCCATCAGTGCGTGTCCCTGCGGCCAAGAGTGGGTTAATATTGCTAGTCTGGCTGACAGCAGGATAGAGGGAAGGAAGTAGAGAGATTAAATGAGTGAGATGCAGGGGGTGGAGAGAGAGAGAGAGAGGGAGGGGAGTGATTTAATTCATCCCTAAGCAGCACTGATTGACTATAGCTAGCACACTGGCACTCACACAACAGAACGATGGAGAGAGACAGCAGAAACGAGAAGTTATTCTCCAGAAAGAGAAGTTTCACTTTTGGGGCATATGGAGGGTGAGTAACAGTCACAGTACTGAGAACTAATTAAAATGCTTTCGTTCTAGTGTCAAAATTAAATCTTGAATTATAAATGTTGTTCATAGAAGTAGTCCTTAATGTCATGCGGCACATTGTCTAAGGAGTTACCACTTCCCCTATTCACAGTGTGGACAAGTTCATATCTGAAAATGAGATTAGGTGAGTGAAACTTAATAATAACTTTATTTACCTTTATCCACATTTAATGTTGTTTCCTTCTCACTGGTCATTTTGCACTGGATTTAGCGGTTGATACACTTGCAGTTGATGAATGGAAAAAGTGATGGGTTGCATTGCTTTGCTCTGTCATTCCACCTGTTGCAGCAGACCGGAACCTTTAGAACACAGCATTCTGGATATTTTGGACTCCCCTACCAGCGAGACCAAACCGTTCCTCTCTGTTGGCAGCAACCAGAAGGTAAAAGGACTTAATCTGCTATGGCCATATCCTTTCATCATCGTCATTATATCCTTTTTGCATTTGTTGATCGCATCATCACAAATTTAGTCTCCCTGCACTTCCCTGCATCTGTCTTTGTCTAACGTTGTTCACCTTTCTCTCCCTGCTTCTCCCTGAACCTCCTTTCTCTGTCTGTCTGTCTGTCTGTCTGTCTGTCTGTCTGTCTGTCTGTCTGTCTGTCTGTCTGTCTGTCTGTCTGTCTGTCTGTCTGTCTGTCTGTCTGTCTGTCTGTCTGTCTGTCTGTCTGTCTGTCTGTCTGTCTGTCTGTCTGTCTGTCTGACTCTTTCTGTCTGTCTGACTCTTTCTGTCTGTCTGACTCTTTCTGTCTGTCTGACTCTTTCTGTCTGTCTTTGTTTGTCTGTCTGTCTGTCTGCCTGTGTGACTGTCTATCTGTGTTTTCCATGTAAGGTGACAGAGCTGTTTGAGATCATTGAGAAGTTGCAGGTGAGTGTACAGCACCATTCCCCCTCTGTTTTGTGTAGTCTCTGTGTGTACAACAGTTCTCTCTCCAGTTATTCAATCAGTCAGTCACTGTTACCTTCACTCTCCTTCATCAGGGCAGCAGGCTCGATGAACAGCGTTGTGAATTCCCTCTGCCTTTGAGGGTGAGTCTTTCTCCTAAAATATAATGGCAAGATTTGTGTGCACACGTGTGGCATGTATGTGGCATGTTCAACTTTCTTTCCATTGAACATGGGATACAAATAAAGGCATTTAAAATAATTGACCTTCTCAATGATACAGACATTTTGTTCCCTAAAACACTGACGTCACAATAGCAATAACACTCATACCAGCATATATAAAACGTATTATTAGGTATGCTGGTGCAACCATGAGCACGTCAGTTCAAACATCATCCTACGGAAACTGCTAGATCTACAGTTAATTGGATACACCACAGACTTTTAAATTATCATCTCACCCTTTTTAAAGTCTCAGCTTTTGAAGATAGGTCGTGATCTTCCTCTGATCCTGCCTCCAAAGCTGGGTGGTTACTGGATAGACCCCCCGCTACAGAAGTTTGCTGAGACCAGTCCGACATCCTCTCATTACGGACTAGACCCAGAGACCTATGACATCATGGAGAGAGACAGCGAGGCCACATACTACCAGGAGTTCTTCCGCTCACGAGTTAGTAGAGTACCACCCATAGAACTATTCTTATTCTGTTCTATTGGATGGTAGAGATGGACTATGATCCAATATGATGAAATACATACATACAGTGCCTTGCAAAAGTATTCATCCCCCTTGGCGTTTTTCCTATTTTGTTGCATTACAACCTGTAATTTAAATGGATTTTTAATTGGATTTCATGTAATGGACATACACATAATATTCCAAATTGGTGAAGTGAAATTAAAAAAATAACTTGTTTCAAAAAATTCTAAAAAATAAATAACGGAAAAGTGGTGCGTGCATATGTATTCACCCCCTTTGCTATGAAGCCCCTAAATAAGATCTGGTGCAACCAATTACATTCAGAAGTCACATAATTAGTTAAATAAAGTCCACCGGTGTGCAATCTAAGTGTCACATGATCTGTCACATGATCTCAGTATATATACACCTGTTCTGAAAGGCCCCAGAGTCTGCAACACCACTAAGCAAGGGGCACCACCAAGCAAGCGGCACCATGAAGACCAAGGAGCTCTCCAAACAGGTCAGGGAAAAAGTTGTGGAGAAGTACAGATCAGGGTTGGGTTATAAAAAAATATCAGAAACTTTGAACATCCCACGGAGCACCATTAAATCCATTATTAGAAAATGGAAAGAATATGGCACCATAACAAACCTGCCAAGAGAGGGCCGCCCACCAAAACTCACGGACCAGGCAAGGAGGGCATTAATCAAAGAGGCAACAAAGAGACCAAAGATAACCCTGAAGGCGCTGCAAAGCTCCACAGCGGCGATTGGAGTATCTGTCCATAGGACCACTTTAAGCCGTACACTCCACAGAGCTGGGCTTTACGGAAGAGTGGCCAGAAAAAAGCCATTGCTTAAAGAAAAAAATAAGCAAACACGTTTGGTGTTCGCCAAAAGGCATGTGGGAGACTTCCCAAACATATGGAAGAACGTACTCTGGTCAGATAAGGCTAAAATTAAGGTTTTTGGCCATCGAGGAAAACGCTATGTCTGGTGCAAGCCCAACACCTCTCATCACCCTGAGAACACCATCCGCACAGTGAAGCATGGTGGTGGCAGCATCATACAGTGGGGATGTTTTTCATCGGCAGGGACTGGGAAACTGGTCAGAATTTAAGGAATGATGGATGGCGCTAAATACAGGGAAATTCTTGAGGGAAACCTGTTTCAGTCTTCCAGAGATTTGAGACTGGGACGGAGGTTCACCTTCCAGCAGGACAATGACCCTAAGCATACTGCTAAAGCAACACTCGAGTGGTTTAAGGGGAAACATTTAAATGTCTTGGAATGGCCTAGTCAAAGCCCAGACCTCAATCCAATTGAGAATCTGTGATATGACTTAAAGATTGCTGTACACCAGCGGAACCCATCCAACTTGAAGGAGCTGGAGCAGTTTTGCCTTGAAGAATGGGCAAAAATCCCAGTAGCTAGATGTGCCAAGCTTATAGAGACATATCCCAAGAGACTTGCAGCTGTAATTGCTGCAAAATGTGGCTCTACAAAGTATTGACTTTGGGGTGGTGAATAGTTATGCACGCTCAAGTTTTCTGTTTTTTTGTCTTATTTCTTGTTTGCTTCAGAATAAAACATATTTTGCATCTTCAAAGTGGTAGGCATGTTGTGTAAATCAGATGATACAAACCCCCCAAAAATCAATTTTAATTCCAGGATGTAAGGCAACAAAATAGAAAAAATGCCAAGGGGGGTGAATAGTTTCGCAAGCCACTGTACATAGTAGCTGTGTGACTTTCTCTCCTATGTCAGTATCATCACTCGTTCACAGCAGTGGACCCCTCCCTGGGACCCCTCCTTCTCTCTGTCTGTTTGGAGGAAGAAGAGAAGAGGCTGAGAGTAATACTGAGGTTATATCAGAAATAATGGAAATTGTTCAATTAATGTAATGAAACACCCTGGTGAATTCCATGAGCAACAGTTATTACATGTTTGTCTTTCCTTTCCAGAATGAGGGAATGCTCTATGCATGGGGTTTTCTCTGTGTCTCTGTTCCCAAACATCCCATCTGCTGTGGAGCTGGCCAAGGTACCATTACTAGTCTCTCCAACAGACGTGTGTATTTTAGATTAACCTTTATTATACTTTTACTGAAAGTAATTACCATCATCGAAAAACCCCAAACTGACCATGTCCTTTTCAGATGCTATGCGACAGTGTGACTGTGCCCAGATTTGATGTGGTCAGTTACCTCAAGGTACTTATTTTTCACTGTACACATTCCCAAATGATTTAGGCCTTCATGTTACACAGAATGTACTCTTCAAATGACCTCTAAAACCTGAGACAAATTTGACAAAAATGTGTGCCCTCTCCTTCCCCTTTATCTCTCTATCTATCCCTCTGCTTCTCCCTTCATTTCTCCCTCTCCCTTCCCCTCTCTGTCTTTCAGGCACCAGATCTTATAACAGCATTTGATGAACACAGAGTGTCTCCGAACTTCAAGTTTGGTGTCTTGTATCAGAGAGAGGGACAGGTAAATAACTGGACCGCAGGCAGAAGCTTGGTAGCATTAAATAGGAGCACTAGTCTACATTACATCTCATATTTTCTCTCTATCTTTTACAGTTGACAGAGGAGGACATACTCTGTAACAATGAGGAAAGTGAAGAGTTTCAAGAATTCCTCTCTATTTTGGGAGATACAGTCACACTTCAAGGGTTCACTGGGTAATTTACAGTAACCTACATGGTGACATGGCCTTATGGAGAAATTACAGAAATATGACATTGTAACAGGAAGAGATTAATAAGAAGATGCCAGCAGCTTACTGTCACTCCCCTCTCCCCGACGGCATCTTCCCTCTTTCTCTCCCCCATTCTCTCTCTCCCTCCCTCTCTTCAAGGTTCCGAGGAGGTTTGGACGTGTGTCACGGCCAGACAGGAAGTGATGCGGTCTTCACTTCCTTCCACGGCAGAGAGATCATGTTCCATGTGTCCACCAAACTGCCCTTCACAGAGGGCGATACACAACAGGTTAGCTAGAATAACGACAACTAATCATACTCACCCACAGTCAATCACTTCAACCCAGCTCCAGTGGCTCCCTCTTACCCTCTGCTCATTGCTCCTTACAGCTACAGAGGAAGAGACACATCGGCAACGACATCGTTGCTGTTGTTTACCAGGAGGGCCAAACCCCTTTTCTGTCTGATGTCATCGGTTCGCACTTCCTGCACTGTTTCCTAGTGGTCAGGAGGGTGAGGAAGGGAGTGGGGGGCGAGGGGGAGGAGGCAGGAGGAGGAGGGGTCTTCCAGGTATGAAGATAAAACAAAAGGAGAGACACATTGATCTCTTATCACTGTAGTTATTTTTATTGGAATGGAAATACTTTTTCAAACCTGAAAGTGGTCTGTTTGCAGGTGTCAGTCGCAGCCAGAGAGGATGTACCTCCCTTTGGTCCCTCCCTCCCTGATCCTCCCATATTCACAGAGGTGAATAGAATTCACATCTGATCTTGGTGACATGGTAAAAGACCATGATGCATTCTCAGTGTGTCTCTGTTGGCCTCTCTTGCAGAGCTCCCTGTTGAGAGAGTTCCTCCTGACCAAGCTTATCAATGCAGAGATCTCCTGTTATAAGGCTGAGAGGTTCAGCAGACTTGAGGTAACCACAGAAGAACAACACTAACACCATTATACATGTATGCAGTAATGCTTAAGGCATTACATGCACAGGTCCAAAGACTTTCTAGATGCAAAACTGTTATCTTTTTATGTGGAACAGAAACCTAATCAACAAGTCTTTCCTCTTCTCTAATTCCTCTCTTCTGCTCCCCATCTCTTACTTAACTCCTCTATGCTGCCTCCTCTCCTCCCTCTCTCCTCTCATCCTATCTTTTCAAGCTGCGCACTCGTTCGTCCCTCCTGGAGGGTCTGCAGGCGGAACTGTCCACCCGCTCCCAGTGCATGATGGGAGATTCGCCTGTGTCCGCCCTCTCGACTTCTGAGGGGATGAAGGGTGTAACTGAGGGGAGTGGAGGGTTCATCGAAAACTTTAAGGTGAAGTCAGACATTCTTGACTTTTTCGCTACAGTATGGGGAAAGGGTGGGTTTTGGACTTGGCATCCATATTTCCTGTCTTTGTTGCAGAGAGCCATAAGGGTGCGCAGTAATTCTTTTGACACTCTTGGGGGGCCTAGAAAGACCGGCGGGGTGCCGATCCCACAGAAGCCCAAGGTAACCCATACTGAAGATGGAAGCACTTTCTCTTTTTTTCACTGAATATCTTATTGATATGTTTGTGGGAAATACTGACCACCCCTGTTGGTTTTGTCTCCCTCGTCAGGCTGCTACAGAGAGAGATGGAGAGAGGTAAGACACTACAGAGAACGGACAAATCAAGAAGATGGACGAACAGACAGACAGACAGATGTTGTTTTTTGTCTTTCAGTGAGTTGGCCTACAAGCTCCCTGAACCCAGCTTTCCGCCCACAGACAACCTGGGCTCCACAGAGGTCAAAGATCACTCCAGTCCCCAGGAGAATACGTAGACAGACAGAATTATGTGTATATTTTAATAATAACCGAGTGGATGCTTTGCATTCGGAAAGTATTCAGGCCCCTTGACTTTTACCACATTTTGTTACGTTACAGCCTTATTCTAAAATGGATTAAATAGTTTTTTCCCCTCATCAATCTACACACAATATCCCATAATTACAAAGCAAAAACAGGTTTTTATTTTTTTGTGCAATTTTATAACAAATAAAACATCACATTTACATATGTATTCAGACCCTTTACTCAGTACTTTGTTGAAGCACCTTTGGCAGCGATTACAGCCTTTAGTCTTCTTGGGTATGACGCTACAAGCTTGGCACACCTGTATTTGGGGAGTTTCTCCCATTCTTCTCTGTAGTTCCTCTCAAGCTCTGTAGGGTTGGATGGAGAGCGTCGCTGCACAGCTATTTTTAGGTCTCTCGATCGGGTTCAATTCCGGGCTCTGGCTGGTCCACTCAAGGATATTCAGAGACTTGTCCCAAAGCCACTCCTGCGTTGTCTTGGCTGTGGGCTTAGGGTCGTTGTCCTGATGGAAGGTGAACCTTCGCCCCAGTCTGAAGTCCTGAGCACTCTGGAGCAGGTTTTCATCAAGGATCTCTCTGTAATTTTCTCCGTTCATCTTTCCCTCGATCCTGACTAGTCTCCCTGCCGCTGAAAAACATCCCCATGCTGCCACCACCATGCTTCACTGTAGGGATGGTGCCAGGTTTCCTCCAGATGTGACACTTGGCATTCATGCCAAAGAGTTCAATCTTGGTTTCATCATCTGCTAAATGACCAGAGAATCTTGTTTCTCATGGTCTGAGAGTCATTTGGGTGCCTTTTGGCAAACTCCAAGCAGGCTGTCATGTGCCTTTTACTGAGGAGTGGCTTCTGTCTGGCCACTCTACCATAAAGGCCTGATTAATGGAGTGCTGCAAAGATGGTTGTCCTTCTGGAAGGTTCTCCTATCTCCACAGAGGAACTCTGGAGCTCTGTCAGAGTGACCATCGGGTTCAGGGTCACCTCCCTGACCAAGGCCCTTCTCCCCCGATTGCTCAATTTGACCAGGTAGCCAGCTCTAGGTAGAGTCTTAGTGGTTCCAAACTTCTTCCATTTAAGAATGATGGAGGCCACTGTGTTCTTGGGGACCTTCAATGCTGCAGAAATGTGCCTCGACACAATCCTGTCTTGGAGCTCTACGGACAATTCCTTCGACCTCACAGCTTGGTTTTTGCTCTGACATGCACTGTCAACTGTGGGACCTTATATAGACAGGTGTGTGCCTTTCCAAATCATGTCCAATCAATTGAATTTACCACAGGTGGACTCCAATCAAATTGTAGAAACATCTCAAGCATGATCAATGGAAACAGGATGCACCTGAGCCCAATTTCGAGTCTCATAGCAAAGGGTCTTAATACTGAATGTAAATAAGGTATTTCTGTTTTAAGGTATTTTCTAAAAACCTGTTTTCACTTTGTCATCATGGGGTATTGTGCGTAGATTGATGAGGGAAAAAAATATTTAATCCATTTTAGAATAAGGCTGTAACGTAACAAAATGTGGAAAAAGTCAAGGGGTCTGAATACTTTCCGAACGCACTGTACAAGTTGTAAAATAAGATGTTCAAATTGATAAATTCATAGCAAGTAATACAGATATATTATTTTAGAATATTTTCACTGTTAATATGTGTACATCATTGTAGTAAATGTATGATAACTAAGTCATGCAATATTTATATTACTATTTTAGAGCATTGTAATAATTCAGGGCTGCCAACTTTTGAAGAAAGCTGGAGTGAGATTTGCTGTGTGAATTTCATTGCCCCCTGGCACAATCCCTAGACTGGGGATTGGGAGTCCACCCCCAGGAAGATTTTACTGTTTTAAACTATTTCCCTGCAATTCTATGTATTTTGACATGGCTTTGGCCTATTACCAGGGTGGAAAATTAGGTATATTCAGGATGCTTTGAACATTAAATGAACACTCAAAATTCGACTACTTTGTTACTTTGAGTTTTTGGGGTATGAAATGTAAAGTATGCTGATATGTTTTTTTAAACATTTTTTTAGGTGGTTTGACACTTTATTCAGACAGTAATGAAATGAGATAGGGAGACAGGCAAATGCTAAAAACAGTGGGAAGGTTGGAAGCAGGGATTGATCCCTGTTCTCCGGTGAAAAGTTGTATGCGACATATTCCGGGGAGTGTTACCACTACACCAAGGCTCTGCACAGGAAATGTTAATATTAATGGTTGATGGCAGTGGATAACCAAATCATAGATTGCAGTCTGCTTGTCCATAGACTGCTTTGAAGGTAACATTTTATATTTTGTCATTTGGGTGATCTATCTCTTTAAAATCGGGATGGAAGAAAATCCTGCTTGCTTTCCAGGAGGGTTGGCCACTCCACATCTATGTTTCCCAAGTGCTGGGTGTTTGAAAATGTTTTTGTTATAACAATTCATTTTTCAAGATCACACAACCTTCAACAAAAATCGAATGAATATCAATATTCAGGTGGTTTATGCCTACTAGTTGAAGATCCTTGCCAAACATTTTACTCTAGGTTGTCAAAATATGATGCGTTTATGAGTTGTGAGTCCCTCTACCATCTCTGCCTTTGCATGTGCACAATACTAAAATGTCAAAAATGATATTTGATTCCTGGAGCATTTAATATCCAATGCTTATTTGTATGACTTATTCAAAACGCTCCACGAATGGCAAAAATGCATAGCCTCATATAATTCATTTTCAAAGACACAAGTAGGCATATCATATTTAAAATACGAGATTGCGTAAAATTGGGAAGAAGTGGAATAATAAAATAAGTGTGGGGAATGACAGTAGTGTTATTGCTGATAAGCATAGTGATTACTCTATATTTTAGCCCATTGTTAAGAATGCTAGTTATTTAATCAGACTAAACAACGTAAAGAGCGAATAAAATCTCCTGAAGAAAATATTATATAAATCTTCCCCTACACTCTACCCAAATTATTGTATATTTATTGTACCCCCTCTAGAGTCAAATTTATACTTTGGGTTCACAATCTGTTTGAGAAAATGATTTTCATAGTCGCAAATCAGGTGATCCTACCCATCTTCCCTGATAAAACATACTGTAGGTATGTCTGCTGCCGTTTCGTTGTCACAGCCTAAATGCCAATAACCAAACGAAGGGACTAATGCAAGTGTGGATTACATCGACTTTAGTACATGCTGTCAAAAGGGTGCATTCTGAAATAGGGACGGGAGTAACAGCAACCAAATTTTGTTCACAATATTGTACATAAAACAGGGCTACAGGGCTGCTCTTTTTACAGTTTTATAAACTCAGTGGAGAACGATCTCTATCCATTCAACTCCACTCTAATCTTGAGGGTTGTTCCTTTAAAACGCGCATCCAATCCCCTTGATACATAACTACACCAATCATATGCTTTGATGTGCCGCGGTTCACAGTGCTGTGGCAAGACAGGACATTGATAGCGATTCTGCTCGTGCTGTTAAATTGCAGGTGCAGATGCTGCGATTTCAAAACGATTTGGAGCACAGTTGAAAAGTTAACGCGCGGACTATACAATGGACTAATAAAACCAGTACTTTTCAATGCGTGAGATATAAGAGGTGTGCGGTGAAAGCGTGAGAAGAGGGTCAAATGCGTGTGAGTTGGCAGCTCTGGTATCAATAGTGTTATCCATGAGATGAGATTTAATTATACTGAACAAAAACATAAATGCAACAATTTCAAAGATTTTGCTGAGTTACAGTTCCTATAAGGAAATCAGTCAATTGAAATAAATTAATTAGTCCCTAATCTATGGATTTCACATGACTGGGCAGGGGTGCAGACATGGGTGGGCCTGGGAGGGCATATGCCCACCCACTTGGGAGCCAGGCCCAGCCAATCAGAATGAGTTTTCCCCCACAAAAGGGCTTTATTACATAAATAAATACTCAATGACGTTGGAGGCGGCTTATGGTAGAGAAATGAACATTCAATTATCTGGTTATAGCTCTGGTGGACATTCCTGCAGTCAGCATGCCAATTGCAAGCTCCCTCAACTTGAGACATCCGTGGCATTGTGTTGTGTGACAAAACTGCACATTTTAGAGTGGCCTTTTATTGTCCAGAGTACAAGGTGCACCTGTGTAATGATCATGCTGTTTAATCAGCTTCTAGATATGCCACACCTGTCAGGTGGATGTATTATCTAGACAAAGGATAAAATGCTCACTAACACGGATGTAAACAAATTTGTGCACAAAATGTGAGAGAAATAAGCTTTTTGTGAGTATGGAACATTTCTGGGATCTTTTATTTGAGCTCATGAAACATCAGACCAGCAATTTACATGTTGCGTTTATATTTTTCAGTGGATGGTAGCAAACTATTATTAGGTCAGTGTTTTTGTATCAAAACGAACAGAGAGGTACAATACATTCATAACACATTTCACAGCACACTAAGTGTGTGCCCTCAGGCCCCTACTCCACTACCACATATCTACAACACAAAATCCATGTGTACGTGTGTGTATAGAGCATATATTATCATGTTTGTGTATGCATGTGTCTGTGCCTATGTTTGTGTTGGTTGCGATTCGCCAATAAAACTTGAAGAAGAATGTAGAAAGTAAACAAACACGGTTTTGACTAGATGGAATACAGTTTATGTCGCAATTGACTAGAATTTACTTTTCGTAGCAGGCTAGGAGATCTTACGCAGCAGGTTATGAAAATGAACGTAGCAGGTTAGGATAATTAGGTTAAGGTTAGGAAAATTATTAGGGTTAGCTATGGAAAAAAAATCTACTTAAGAGGTAATTTTACATTAGATGTATCCCACCCGAGGCATGCACAGAGGGTCAGGATAAAGATCTGGTCAGAGGGAGCAGGCGCTCCGTGTTAAACGAATGGGGGCAAGAGATGTGAATTGTTTTGCTCTCAAGAAAAGGGAGGCATTGAAAGCTGACCAACTGAAATGGAAGATTCATGGTGTTTGTGATGTTCGTCGTTTGGTGCGCAGCAGACAGGGTGGTGTGAGTGGAAAAACAGAAGAGTCATTGTCTGTTCTTTTGAGTTTTGATGCTGAGTCTTTGCCCAACAAAATTATGTTAGGATATATAAGTTATCCTGTACAAGCTTTTGTGCCGAATACATTACGTTGTTACAGGAGTCAAGCTTATGGGCATGTGGTAGCAGTGTGTAGGAGGGAGGTTCCTAGGTGTGCAGAAGGGCATGAGACAAAGGAATGTGTAGCATTGGGGAGAGTAGTGATATGTGTTAATTGTAGGGGTGCCCATGGGGCTGGGGTTCAGAAATGTCCAATGCGAGACAGGCAGGTTGAGGTTTCCAGGGTTAGAGTAGAGCAGAAGTTGTAATATGCTGAGGCAGTGAAGAAAGTAGAGGAAGATGGGTCAAGGGGGAGGGATTCTGAGAGGAGTGGTGTGAGTAGTAGATCTGTACCAGTACAGAGGGATAAACCAACAAGTGATATATGTTTCAGTAAGATTGGATTTTTGACATTTATAGCAATGGTTATCAACTGTACTGCAGGGATGGAACGTAAGTCGCAGAAAATAGAGGCTGTGGTGGCAGCTGCAGAGAGGGATTTGGGTGTGCAAAACTTGACATCAGAAGAGTTACAGGGTGTGTTAAGTGGTGATGTTCCATCCTTTTAGGCTGTTGGCCGGAAGTAGGACTAAATAGATTTAAGTATTGTGTGTATATATATATATTTTTAAAAATGTTTTGTGAGTGTAGTGTTAGATGGTAGGGTATTAGTATTATTATTGTAATTTTGTTTAAAAAAAATTAAACATATATATTTTTTAAAGCAAAGTATAAGGGAGTTATGCTCCAGTGTAGTAGGTGGCGGTAATGCAACATTTATTGGATGCCAACCGCCGCTGAACCTCATCGAAGAAGAAGATGTATCCCATCTAGCCATGACCCAGAACCGCCGAGCGCTGAACTGCCTATAATTCTGTCCACGTTATTTAAAACAGCTCCAGTTTAGTGTCTTTATTTGTAGTTTACATGTACGCTTGAAATACACAACGAAAGATCCAAGTTAAAAACTGGTTTGACTTTTGCACGGGTAATTTGAATGGACTCTTGCTGCATATGTGCATATTTCTAAACTTGAAAACAATCAGAGTGCGAAGTGTATTTGATTGTTTTCAATGGTTGAACTTTGACACAGTTTTTTCTTTGACAGTGACGGACGGCAAGCTGGTGGTCAAAGGTAACGTGCACAGAAATAACAATGACTTAAGATAGAACGTTTAATTTACCCCACAAAATAACGTTATAGCTGTGTTTGTGGCTACAGGGACGTTTTTACTTGCAGTACAAGGACGATGATGTTACATCTAGCTAAATTGTTACACTGTATCCACACATTTCCTTCAGATGGCAAGTTCCAGGAAAGTGATTGAACTGTTTTATGACGTGGTGTCTCCCTACTCATGGGTTTGCTTTGAGGTTAGTGTATTTAGATTGTACGTTTCAAAATTTCAGAGGTAGAGTTCTATGCATTGACTAATCATTGTGCATGCATGTATCCGATCTTTAGGTCATGTGCCGTTACAGAAATGTGTGGAACATTGACCTTAAACTACGTCCTGCGTTCTTGGGTGGCGTCATGCAAGGGTCAGGTAAGTAGCTAAGATCAACAGTACACAAACCAGACTTCACAATAGGCTATGGATGGACTGTCATGTTTACATTGCACATGTTGTCAGTCAGCCATTAAAAAGTCATGATGAGTCATGTGCATTGTGATGTGATGTCTGATTTTATTGTTATCCTGTATTCCAGGTAATAAGCCCCCAGGTCTGGTCCCAAACAAGTTCCTGTATATGACCACAGACCTGCATCGTCTAGCCCAGTACTTCCAGGTCCCCATCAGTCCCCCTACTGACCCCTTTGAGGCCATGTTCGAAAAAGGTGCCCCCCCCCCGCTTATAACAATGCTATTGGATATATATTCATGAGACACATGGGTGGGGACAACACTAATATACCTGTACTGTTTCATATATAGAACGTATCTTAAAGATCAATGAAGGCTTCCTAATATAGATCAAACAGCAACAGGTGCTGACAGGAAGTCTCTCCCTGTAACATTCCATTGAGTACTGCTGTCTGTTGGGGACACTCAGGGAGAGAAACATCTGTGCTGTCAACATGTCTGTTCTATATTATCAATTAGCTTTATCCCTCTATACCTAATACACTGCTCTGTATGGTCTCTCTTAGCCTTTTTGTGCCTCGCCGTCAAGCAAAATAAACTTGCTGACCTCACGGTCACCACATTTCTCTCTTGCAACCATGTATTTGTCTGTCCCAGGCTCGCTGTCTGCCATGCGCTTTGTGGCGGCGGTACAGGAGAGGGAGGTGGGCGGAGATAAGCAGGTAGAGCAGGTGTCCCGGGAGCTGTGGATGAGGATCTGGAGCCAAGACAAAGACATTACCCAGCCTGCATCACTCTCTGAGGTACCAGGAAGTACTCAGTCGTTGGAGCTTGAGTTCAAGGCTTCTCTCCATTCATCATCTGTCTAGTGTCTTTCACAAAGTTGCCTTTCACAGAATATCAGAAAAATTTGCATTTTACTAAAATGCTAAAATGTCTTAAGTGTTATCACCCAACACTAATGCAATTGCACTCAAGAACGCAATCCCTGAGTGCTGGAAGGCATAATCCTCCTAGAGCAGTTTGAGATTGGGTCTGGGTAGATAGTGGCATCATGGATTTGAACATTGCAGGTTGTTTGTTTAATGTGATTCATGTTTTTTCCAGGCAGCCATGAAGGCAGGGCTCTCAGCCAGTGAGGTGGAAGAGCTGCTGAAACTGTCCACCTCTAAGGAAATCAAAGACAAGCTGAAGAGATCCACTAAGGAAGCACTGGACCATGGGGTCAGTGTCTCCTCCTCCTCTCCCTGTTCTCTCCCAACCAACCCCTAGCCACATACAGTGGGGGAAAAAAGTATTTAGTCAGCCACCAATTGTGCAAGTTCTCCCACATAAAAAGATGAGGCCTGTAATTTTCATCATAGGTACACGTCAACTATGACAGACAAAATTAGAAAAAAAAATCCAGAAAATCACATTGTAGGATTTTTAATGAATTTATTTGCAAATTATGGTGGAAAATAAGTATTTGGTCAATAACAAAAGTTTCTCAATACTTTGTTATATACCCTTTGTTGGCAATGACACAGGTCAAACGTTTTCTGTAAGTCTTCACAAGGTTTTCACACACTGTTGCTGGTATTTTGGCCCATTCCTCCATGCAGATCTCCTCTAGAGCAGTGATGTTTTGGGGCTGTCGCTGGGCAACACGGACTTTCAACTCCCTCCAAAGATTTTCTATGGGGTTGAGATCTGGAGACTGGCTAGGCCACTCCAGGACCTTGAAATGCTTCTTACGAAGCCACTCCTTCGTTGCCCGGGCGGTGTGTTTGGGATCATTGCCATGCTGAAGACCCACCACGTT